ATTACAAACAGAATACCCACCCACATGCGAAAACAAAACTGAAACCTTTTTCTTTTCTTCTGACAATAGCACCTCCTAAAGGAAGAAATGTATCTTGTTCTTGCATTGGAGAGTTCCGTTTGTAACCTAGGACTTGCTTGTCCTCGGTGCACAGAAATCAGATCAATCTGATACCATACATATTTTTTAGAAATGATTTGGAAAATATTTGAACACCTTGTCTTAAAACATTTTAGTCATCAGGTTAAAAGAAAATGTTCCATAATCAATTTTTTTCTTTTCTTTTTTTGATTTTTCCAATTTTTCAGGAAAAAACAAAAAAGGCTTCAGAAAAAAAAACGGGGTTTTTCCCGAATTTTCCCGGGTTTTTTTCCGGGCCTTCACATCTCTAATTCTACCGAGGGCTGCTGCCACCCACCCCTTCAAACCACTCCCCACAGCCGCAAAGCCCTCACCTTCGTTTTCGTCCTTGAAGAGCTCCTCGGTGCCGAACTTGAGGATGTCGTCCAGCTCCTGCTTGGACATGCTGCCCGACTTGGAGCCCAGCCCCGGGCGCACCACCAGGTGAGTCAGCATCATCTTGCGCTTGGCCACCTGCGTGATCCGAGGTTCCCTTTAGTCACTGTGGCCAGTACCCACTGATCGGCCTATCCCTTCATGAATTTCCATTATCCCCCTTTTAAATCCACCTATGCTTGTGGTCGTCACCACCTCCCCTGGTGCTGAACTCCACCGTTTAACTAGTCAGGGCTATTTTGGGGCAGGAACGCACAGGAATAGAGTTCCGGCTGGCTCCCGAGTTGGCCACGTCCAGCAGGAACTTATTAGCATAACAGGCCACACCTAACAGCAGAAACTCATTAGGATTGGCTACATTAGGGGTGTGTGGCCTAACATGCAGAGGAGTTCCTGCGACAAAAAAAGGGCCTGGGTTTTGACAACAAACAAGGTAAACAGAATAAGAAGGGAAAGGTGGGTGTGGCTGGATGACCACACTTCTAGTAACATGGGGGTGCAGCCTAATGTGCTAATGAGCTGTGCTGTCAGGGGTGTGGCCTAATATGCTAATGAGTTCCTGCTGTTGGGTGTGGCCTATTAGGCTAATAAGTTCCTGCTGGGCTTTTTCTACAAAAAGAGCCCTGCTAGTCACTGAGTAAAGATGTTTTTCCTTTAATCAGAGTGCCCCTTTGAGCTCTAATGAACTCGATGTGGATGTATCCTTTGATGGCAGAGAGGGTACATACATACACACGCATGGAGGACCACCGGTTGTTTACAGCTGCCCGTGACCACAGGTGGACCAGAACAATTACTTTCCAGATTTGGTGCATATTTGAATTACAGACCACTTGTGAGCGATGCTCCCTCTAAGCCGTGGAGTCTTGTGAGCAAAAACTCTACTTTGTGAGCTCCTGGCATTATAGTTGTGAGCGAGCGATTTGGCTGCTGCAGAAATTAGTTTGTTCTGGAGCCTTCCTTCCCGAGCTGAGATGAAAATGTGTGAGCTGGAGGCTAAAAAACTGTGAGCTCGCTCACACTAACTCAGCTTAGAGGGAAATCTGCTTGTTTGGTTTACGACTACATTTTTTAAACTGCACAATTGGTTTGATATCTTGTATGGTCATTTCAGCTTCTGGCAGACAACTGAGACCGGAAGACACTGAGGCGGATGGTGAGGCCGATGCAGAAGATGATTCTGTGAGTATCACGCGTTGCTTTCAGTGTTTTTTAAATTCAGAGTCTGCCTTTGAGGTCTAGGAGTCAAAGTGAATGATGGCGTGGATCAGAACTCAAACTCGGACTTTCTTCCCCCCAAAGATAGATTCAGGTGGGGTAGCCTTGTCGGTCTGAAGCAACAGAACAAAGTGTGGGTCCAGTGGCACCCTGAAGACCACCAAAGCTTAATTCTGGGTATAAGCTTTTGTGAAGAAGTGTGCCTGCACACAAAAGCTTGTACCCAGAATTAAACTTCGTTGGTCTTAAAGGTGCCACTCGACTCAAACTTTGTTCTTTTTCTTCCACCTGCACCTCAACAAGATCTGAACCATTTATTTACATTTTGTTTACGTGTTCCTTACTTCCTTATGCTGTGGGATATCCCAGCGGCAATGCCAGGTGGATTGGTTTCCTTTCAAAGTTTAGGGCATGACAACGTTTAGGTTTAGGACATGACAGTATTGGAAACAGATAACCCCCTCTGCAGGGAGAAAAAAGGGGCCCTGCACTCCAAGTCACTGCAAACAACTCATCATTTTCTCTCACTCTCTCTGCCTTCTTGGTTTGATACGAGGGCGAGCAGATGGGCAGGAGCGTTAAATTTAGGGTTGCCAAGTTGATCTTCACCGGGAGCGGGGGGCTCCCGGTTGGCATCTGGTGCGCCGCATGCACGTCACCCGGAAGTGACGTGATGACGCCAGGCACACTGGGGGCGGGACCACGGCCATACGAGGGAAAACCATAGAGTTTTCCCTCAGATGGAAATGGCCCCGCCCCCAGTGTGCCTGGCGTGGTCGCATCACTTCCAGGTGACGCACACGTCGGGGAGGAGTTCCCCCCGGGGCTCGATCCAGTGGCGGCAGGGAACGGGCCTCTGGGGCGGGGGGTTCCCTGCCCCCCGGGTGGACTTGGGAAGCCTAGTTAAATTTAAAGTTATGTCATCTTGCATCTAGATTTGCATTGCCATTTGACTGGATGAATGACACGTGTGATCCATCTTGGATACTCACAAAGCATGTGTCAATTCAGTGCTCTGCGTGCTCATACAGATAATGTGGCCT